ATGAGGACAACACACACACACCCACACACACACACACACACACACACACACACACACACACACACACACACACACACACACGCACACAAACACGTTTCTATTTCACTTAATGTATAGCCATGGGCAGCGGCATTTCTTAAATTGGCCTGAAGTATTGGCCTTTAATTTAAATTGCTTGACGGCATTAAAAGAAGCAAATTGATATGCACGCAAGATGACGTTGATAAAATGTCTTGTGGTTTGTTTTTCCTTGCCTGCAGGTTGTTCTCATGTTCAAGCTGCAACACAGGCCTTCTTCATTCATCCATATCACATTTAAATCTATTTGGAAAACACACCACTGCCCATTTGATATACTGAAAATCAGCCATATACTTTAATAATGGCTTATTATATGGCCTTGGCCTTTAGGTCCAATTCATCAGATTCTCTAAATTGATAAGAGCATTTGAGTAGTCCTTTTTTTGTATGAAGAAAAAATAGTTTTTTTGTTTGTCAAATAAACGTTACATTTCGGGTACTTCAAACCAACTCAACCCAAACTTGATAAAACTAATTTTAGTTCAACTAAATCTAAGGTAATGTAAAGCAATGTAACTAATTCAACACATGAGGAAAAGTAACCCTAAAATAGTGTAAATTGACATACTGTAAACTGACTCATCAACACAGTTTTTTGCAACAAAATCCAACTCATATCACCTTAGTTGAATTTAGTTAAACGTAATATATCTTTGCTCATCACGATTTAATTAAACATCACGTAATGCGACATAATGCAACATGTCAGCCCAAATAAACTAAATTCACCTTAGCCTGACAAAAAACAAAAAACAAAAAAAAACACGTAATCTCATTTTATTTCAGGTCTGTGTAAAGAAACGTATCATACAATTGCCAAACTTACATTCAACATACTTAGCTCAACACAGTTTAACTCAAGTGACATAATGGAACTCAACCCTTAAAAATGATCTTTAATATTGAAAGCATAGCTTTAAAAAAAACATCCACATGCATTTTGTGACATTTCCTGTGTGAGCCTGTTGGTCAGAGCCTAGGGGGTTGGTGGTTGTGGCTGTAAGCAAAAAAAAAAAAAAAAAACTGGAAAATAAAGCTCACATGGTAGACCAGCCATGTGACTGCAGTAATGGGCCTCTCCATATCTGCACACACACCAACCACAGTGTCACAAGAGTCTGAGACACAGCTCTTCCTGGGATGGGAGGGGGCGGGGGTGGGCGGGAAAGTGGGCGGGGGGAGTAAGTGGGAGCAGTGGGGAGAGGATGGGATGACAAGGTCTCATGATCTGTGGATAGGTGAAAAGGTCACTCCTCAGGTGCACATCAAATCGTTCGAAATGTTTTGGTCACAACGTTGAGTGCATCTTTACATTCTAACACTATTCGCTTCAAGATCTGGATCCAAAATGCATCTGGTAAAAAGCTACCAAGGTTCAGTTTTGATTGACTCAGTCAGGGATTCACTGTGTTTATTATTGTGGCTTGCAGTTGTGTAGACCAGTACTGCATCATAGGGTTGTCCTTCCTTAGGTAGCAATATGCATTGCCAAAATATTAGACATGCAACAAATACAAAGCACAGTAATATACCATGTCAAACAAAACGACACATAATTATTGCAGAATTTGTTTTTGAACTGATTTGCACAAATTTGGCAGAGGGCGAGGTACGGGCCTGTGGAGAACTTAACAAATTTCAGTGCAGATAAGATAACGTTTGAATCCAGGAATTTCTTTTTTAGACTAAAATAGAACAGAATACTGTTGATTTTTC